ATATTTGGTTTTATTTCCACATCTGCCATATTCCAGGGGAAGAATGACGTAAGGACTACCGAGCGCGTGACCGCAGTGGCTGACACTGCTCGGGCTGCCTTTACGTGGTGCCACCTGATGCACAATCGCCGTTTTCTCCGTGCTAGTGGTCAGTCCGAAGTTTGGGCAGCCGAAGACTAAGAAGTCCACTTTCCGCCGCATGTTTGCCTCCTTCCTGATATTCATAACACACTAATCGACGAGTAAGAGGCCATGAGCACTGACTTGGAATGTTTTTGTTGCTGCTTGCACGCGTGTTTGTCCTGTCGACTACATCCGTTCCTTCATAAACGCACAGGCGTGATGCATAGTTGAAGCAGACGATGTTAGTTGTAATGGCGTGTGTGACACGCGTAGACGAGCCATTTAGCTCCGTCAGCCACCGTGCCCGATCCCACCTCCGGTCTTCTTGGATCTGTCATGCCACCGATCCAGGTGGGTGAGGGCGATGAGAAGGCGCTAGATGCGGCGCAAATCTGCTCACTAAAAAAAAACTAAATTCACACGCGAGTCCACTGTCTCTGCACCCACCCTGCTGTGGGGCACACGGTGGACGTCGTCGAGATCGACGGTCATGTGTCCGATGTTGAGCAGTTGTCCGTCAGCTCAGCAGGTGATGCTACTTCCCGACCGTTTTTCACGCCAAGCGTCCATCCATAGAGTGGAGATCTTGAGGCTGATGAAGGCGAAGGTACACAACCCCTCTTCACCCCACTTGCCTCTGAGAGCGACCCCTTCTTTGTGACGCACGTCACCCTATCTGCAGTTGTCTCGTTATTTGTGGGAGTCGCTTCAGACACCCGAATTTATGCCAGAATCCACTGCGGTTCAGTGTTTCGAAGGCCTTTAGCAGATATATAAGGGTATTATAGGTGCAGGTCTACACTTTTGGCACTTCGTGCAGTTGGTGGATCGTGAATGTCATGTCTGTGGTTTCGCGATTTTCGCGGGAGTTTCCGCTCCAGATGCGTGCCTTAGTCATTGAGTAGCACTCGAGCACATACTTTCCAGCAATGCTAAGAAGGCAGATTTCTTGGTAATTGCGGCATATCTTATGGATTCCTTTTTAGTCGCGCAATTGAACCACAGTCGAAACTGTCTTTTCTCATTTTTCCCAACAGGGTCTCATCAGTGGCATCCTTTACTAGGACTTTCATTTGTTTCAGCTTCATATTCATGCAGTTGCCAAAATCCAATCGACGTTTAGTCGTATTCAGTATTACAGAACTTTCCTAACCTGGTGTGAGTGCGGGCTTTGTAGTCTGTGCTAACGCGGGCATTAAATTCACTAAGGTCAATCAGTTCGTCCTCCGTCGATACAGTCGTAAGGAAGGTATGCAGCTCCCCATAGAATTTGATCTTCACACCGTCGGGACTGGTCATCGTGAATATTTATATACTGACAATAGCGAATTTGTTTCTGTTGGGGGGCAGTCTCATGGTCATGGGGAGCTAGTTGATACCCTGTGACAGGCGGGACAGCCGTCCCACTCTTGATGACGAAGGCGAGTTCGGTGTCTCGTCTCTCAGTCTGATGTGCGCCTTAAAAGAATGCGTATCTGACGTCCACCTCCAGTTGTCCTTGCTGAGACAGCCGTAGTGTGTGCTATGCAGCGATCTAGTTCACAGGTAACCAGAGCCATCGTCCCTTCTGGGTGGTCACACACCATATTTTTTGAAAGGGAATGGAGAGGAAGGAAGTGGATGCGGTTCTTCTCCCTTGTTGGCCAGAAAGAGGACTGTGCGTAGTCCCGAAATTTCGTACTCATCGGCGAACAGGCCCAACGCCCGATAACGGTGACGGCGAGCCTTTGTGTCTAATTTCGTTATATGACCCTCGTAGCACGTCAGTGGCGATGCTGGCCGTTTAATTACCCGCAGTCTATGATTGCGCTGGGTGACACGCGACTGGCTGTCGGTCGAGACCTACCCTCCCAGGGTTTCTTTTGTCCGGGTGACTAATTGGCCCTTTGTGTTAATACAGTCACGTACACTGTGGCAGATATTTTCTTCAAAAGCAGGCAGTTTTTGCGTTTCTAGCCCAATGTACAAGTTTTTTCTTCTGACAGTATGTCTTACATGGGCACTTTGCATTATGGAGATGGGCCACTGTTAAAGTAAAGTTATAGCGCATATCTGCAAAATTTTCCTTGCGTAGTGCATGAACTGTTCGTTTTTCCTCATTGTTTAGAAGAGCAGGGTTCTCGGCGAATCTACGTCATCCAGCCTGCTATCCGAAAGTAGCCCCATTGGTATACCTGGACAGCTGCCGTTAAGCACTCTCTCAGACGCCATCTCTAAAGTTACCTAAACAATTAACTAAATGAGTGACTTTTGGGCGTCGTCTATTATATTGGATGCGGAAATTAGTGTTTTCGAGTCCAGCCAGAGTCCTCCTAAGTGGACTGTATCTGAAACCACTGTACATCATGCTTGCGTAGTACTGTTTCGCTCAAGAAAGTCAAACATTTTAACCGATTAACTGATTATTTCCGGTGACATTTACAATTCAAAAAGTTTGCCTTTACTTCCACTCACCGCTGACGCAGTTTCAAGTAATTGCGGTCTTACCATCCAGTTTTGTTTAGTTGATTGCAGATATTGACTTTAGTTGCGCAGGTTATCCTGCCTTGTGTAGTATCACTGCCCTTGCGTTTACCCTCAGGTTACTTCGCCCGCGTCTGACTCTGACGTTCTCTCTGATCGATTGGGAAGACTACTACACCTCGCACCGAATCAGCCTTCTAGTCCCTCCTTTGACAGCTTTTTAGACGCCCTAGTGGGGGTTTGGCGCGATTTTGTGAGCATCTATTCCAATTTAGTTCCTCCAGACGCCGATTGCCAGCTGCTCTTGCGACTAGGCGTCAACTGTTCGTCTGTAGCCCACGATGCATGCGAACGGGAACGGGACGCGTTGGTACGACAGCTTACTGAGACAAATTCTCGGCTACTTGA